AAAATAGTTTTCACTTGACTCTTAAATTACAAAAAGTCAGTGCCCAGGGGTCATTGCCAGGGAAAGTGTTCCAAAGGCATGGTACTACCACCAAAAATGGCCAGCTACCACCTACCAAACAAAATAGCAGAATAGACCCAAGATCTTGGCCCTGATGATGATCTGAGTGACCTAGAAAAATTGTTTGGGGAAGATACAGTGGGAGACCCAGGCTACTTGAGGCTTTACAGGCCAAAACTAGCACTTCAAATTGTGTCTAGAAACAGACATGTGGTTCATATGGATCTTTTAACACAAGACAAGGTATGTTTGTTATGACACATCTGGCTAATATCTTGTGCCCTCCAGTGAAAATGGAATGGCATTTTTGTGTATTTCCTCATGTAATTTCTCACTGCATTGGTAATGCTTCTTGTTTTGTTTTTTTACTTTAATTAAAGGATTGTTAATGCCAACCATTCAGCTTAATGTTAGTAGCAAATTAAAACAGAGGTGGATGTCCTAGAGCACAAGAAAGATTTAAAAGTTCTTCAGGTTTTCCAACGCTATTGTGGTGCTGCGTAGCAGTCAGAATGTCAGGTGAGGATCTAGTTCAAATCCCTGCTTTATCATGAAGCTCATTAGCAGGGCAATCCTACAGAGTTACTCTGGCCTAAACCCACTGAAATCAATGGGTTTAGATTGGAGTAAATTAGCATATGATTGCACTATGAGTGACCTTGGGGCAAGCAGTCTTTCTCCTTATCCTGTCTCTTAATATTGTTGTAAGGATAAAATAACCAGTGGGGCCATGTATGGTTCCCTAAGTTCCTTGGTGGAAGGACACAACAAAAAGAAATAAGTAGTGCTGAAAGGAACTTTCCCTTCTCAAATTTAAAAGAAAAATCTGCCAATAAATGCGCTTGCTCACTCAAAAGAATTTCAGAGCAAAGGACGTTTCCCATGGTTAATATACATAGTTGTCTGTATTATTTTAGAGCCCACCAATTGTTTAAGCCACCTTGATGTCCTGGAGAGGCAGGATAAAATGATTTAAATAAATACATTTTTATATACTTCAGTTTGGATTCTTTAACATAATCATATAAATCCACTGAAGGAAACAGGATTACTTATCCTGTCTCTTAATATTGTTGTAAGGATAAAATAACCAGTGGGGCCGTGTATGGTTCCCTAAGTTCCTTGGTGGAAGGATACAACAAAAAGAAATACGTAGTGCTGAAAGGAACTTTCCCTTTTCACATTTAAAAGAAAAATCTGCCAATAAATGCGCTTGCTCACTCAAAAGAATTTCAGAGCAAAGGACGTTTCCCATGGTTAATATACATAGTTGTTTGAATTATTTTAGAGCCCACCAATTGTTTAAGCCACCTTGATGTCAGTTTGGATTCTTTAACATAATTATATAAATCCACTGAAGGAAACAGGATTAGAAGACTGCTACTTTCCTTAGGAATGCAATGTCCATTCCTTACTTCAGTCTGCCTAGTTCAGTTCTCTAACTAAACTTTCCCCCTTGTTAAAACTTAAACCTCCTCTGCTTAATGCATGCATTTATTTATTTAGATATTTATACCCCACATTTTCTCCCCAGCAGAGACACAAATAGGCTTACATTTGTTATCCCCTCCCACATTTTATCCTCACAACAAACAACTCTGTGAAATAGTTAGATTGAGAATGAGTGACTGGGCCAAGGTCACACAGTGAGTCTCCGTGGCAGCATGGGGATTCAAATCTGGGTCTCCCAGATCCTAGTCCAACACTCTAACCACTACACCACACTGCATTATGACACAATATCTGGAGGTGTGTCTAATAACGCTGTACGTTCATGCTGCTCACCTGTCGGATATAGTTGATTTGAGCTTCCTGCTCAATATCTGAGTCTAATTCTGGCACATCAGATAAATCAGAATCTGATTCTTCGCTGTGTGAATCAATGCCACTTTCTGCATAAAGGAGAATACATCAAATGACGCTAATCATCAAAGGGCAATGAAAAACTAAAGTTATGTTTCCCTGGAATAATTAATGCAAAAACTCCAAGAACACTGCCAGTTCTACAACAAAAATGTACAAAGAGGCTGGATAACCAAACACGGCATTGACTGAGCTCTCTGAAGCACTATCACATAGAAGACAGCAAAATTTGTTCTCTGCAGCACCAGAGGGCAAGACTAGATCCAATGGGTTTAAGTTACAAGAAGGAAATATTTCAGTTTAATATTAGGAGAAACCTTTTAACTGTAAGAACAGTTAAATGGAATTCATTCCCTTGGGGGGAAGGGCCTCTCCCCCGCTGGAGATTTTCAAACAGGCTAGATAGAGATTCAGGTTGGGAATGCTCTAGCTTTGGATGTCCTGCAATGAACAGAAGTTTGGATTAGATGGCCTGTAAGGCCCTTTCAACTCTATGGGCGCGATCACACGCACAATTAGCTGCAACATAGGCGTGAATGCCGGGCGGATTTAAAGGGTGTGATCAGACACGAATATCTGGGAAGCACCCCGCACCCGTCGTTAACCCATTTTGCTTTGCTGCAGAAGTGGAGTAAAAGGACACCAGGGAAAGTCCAGTAGCAAACGGGTTGCTACGGGCCACGGACGGACCTTCCCCTGCCTGATCGCTCCAGTGTGCTCTCATGGTGTCGGGATGGTCTGATCAGACCATCCCAACTCCGCGCCTTTGTCCCCCCCCCCGCCTTCTCAGTATGTGCATCATCGCACACTGCATAGGGAGCCCTCAGTGCTGAGATGCGATTCATCGTTTCCTTGTTTAAGCAAATCGGAAACAAATGGCAACCACCACCCCGACTCACCCATGGTTGTGTCTGATCACGCAGTGGCGGGCTGCCCCCGCAGCTTCAAAGGACTGTGTGATCGCACAACTGCGGGTCAAATTCCTCCGGAGGGAATAGCCTCGCTTCCCCCCCGGTTTATCTTGCATGTGTGATCGCCACCTATGATTCTGTTTTGCCTTCCTACAGACACAGCAGCACCAATAGATCAGAATGTCTACAAGTTTACTGTGGATCAAAGCCATAGTGATCAGGTAAAGTTGTAAAATCTTTCCATGCAAGAAAATTGCCACCTTATTTACATATATGTAAGGTTCATGCCCTGACCTGGATAGCCCAGGCTAGTCTGATCTCATCAGATTTCAGACGCTAAGCAGGGTCAGCCCTGGTTAGTACTTGGATGGGAGACTACTGAGGAAGTCCAGGGTTGCTGCACTGACACAGGCACTAGCAAACCACCTCTGAATGTCTGTTGCCTTGAAAACCCTATGGGGCCGCCATAAGTAGGCTGTGACTTAATGGCAAAAAAAAAAGCTCCATGAAACACTTAGGAGTGTTTCTGGTTGGCTGAAGCTACATATTTCTGCAGGTTTCTTCCAGCTGAGATGAATTTAATATGTGACTGATTTAATATGTGAGTATACCCTGAACAGCATGCATCCTGCCTCTGTACTGTTTGAATTAATCTCTGCCTGAGGCAAACATGGGTCTTTATTAAAATAAAAAGTAATGAACATACTAGGTTCAAGCATTCTAAAGAGATAATAATGAAAAGTTTCCTTTCCACCTATCAAAGTCTCCCTTTCTATATACTTCTGAAAACAGAAACTTGCATTTTACTACCTTGGGGTGTTGTTTCAAGGATTCCATTTGTTATACCTTCTGGAATAAACCGCCACTGAAAAACAGAATGATCTGCACCTCCAGTACTTATTACCCACTGAAAGTCATGTGACCAGCGGACATTTGTGGCATGTGCAGAGTGACCAACATATTTTCTAAATTTGGCTCCTAGAAGTAAAAATAAGAATTGAAAATTAAGCCTTTAGTTAGCAATATAAACTGCAAGATCAGATACGAATTCCAAGATGCAAGACAGCTGAATAAGGCCTAGGTAGTAACAAAATATGGACATCTAGGAAAAGTACAAAAGAACAGCAAAGACCATTATTAGCAGAGCATATATTCTGCTATACATATATTTTATGCAATAGAAAAAATATTTTTAATTCATTATATTGGATCTTAATAGACCTTGATTGAAAACTGAAGAAGCAAAAAGCCTGGGACTAGTGAGAAATATCTGGGCATAGCACCCACTACGTTATTCCTGCAATAAAATCAAAATCTCTACCTGTCTCTGTGGTCCTGATTGAAAAAGACAAAGTAAGCTGAGGACAATAAAGAAATCAATAAAGGATCAGTGTTCTTAAGGCATCCACTAATACAGGCAATTTATAGTACAATCCTGTTATGACTTGCTCCAGTCTAAACCCAATGGCTTAGACTGGAGTAACTCTGCATGGAATTGCACTGTGAAAGATATCAAGCTGCTAGGTCCTGAAAAATGAACCAGGTAACATATATTTTGAGGAAATTTAGATGTTTCCCACATTATTGAGAAATTTGAGGGTCCCCCCTCAAATTTCTTTGAGCACTGCCTAAAGGTATTTTAATGTCACTTGTATAGCACTATGGCGAGATACAGACAATAAAGCTAAAAGGAAAGTCCTTGCAAGGCTTAACTATATCACTAGTAGTCTTTTCTTCTGATAATGCTGAAGTCTGCTTTGGAAAGTAATTGAAAAGACATTGATAGCAAAATGTTTTGAAAGCCAACAGAGCTCAGTATAACAGAGAAAGATCACTACCCCTGTACTCAGCAACTTCTAACAGTATCCTATTCCGTTTTCTGAACAATGGTGTATGAACATGTCAACCAGGATAATAATTAAAACTGCCAGGATAATAATTAAAACAATGGATTGGTTCCTGACCCTCCAATCTATGGTTTGACTCTTATGTGAATGAACTTTCTGCTTGTGACTTTACTTTGCAGTTCTGGTTTCCAACCAACCAAACTACAGTTTGTCAAAAAAGAGGAAGTGGAAGAATGAATCCAGGTGCAGGGAGAGGAGAGGAGGGGAGGGCACATGTTTTGGGCAACAAATGGCCAAAGCATAATTTTCTACAACGTGAACCAAGACTAGAACAAATTTCTAACAATTTGTTAGCATATATCTTTTAAAAGTTCAAAAGATAACAGGGTGCTAAAGAAAACAGTAAACAGCTGAACCAGTGGTCTTAGAGACAGTTAGTACTGTATGACTCCTGCAAAATAACCTTCAGGTCTGGAATTCAGAGCTGATTGGCAGCTTGCAAAACTCAATAAACGCTGAACTTTTCTGTGCTTGCAGGACGTGCCAGGCCTTAACAAACTCCCATCCATGTTGGAGCGGGACTGCCTAAGGAAGTCAGGAAGTAGGGTTTCCAACCTCCAGGTGGGGACTGGAGATCTCCTGGGATTATAACTGATCTGCAGGTGACAGAGATCAGTTTGCCTGGAGATAATGGCCACTTTGGAAGGTGGACTCTATGGTGTCGTACCTTGCTGTGGTCCCTTCCCTCCCCAAACCCCACCCTCCTCGGGCTCCACCCCCAAATCTCCAGGTATTTCCAACCTGGGGCTGGCAACCCTATCAGGAAGGGTCCCACATTTTTGGCTTTCTGCAAACTATGTAAAACAGAACTGTTCAGGATGGCTTTTTTTATATAAAGGAACATGGCCGCATTGTTACAGATGGATTCAGGAAGATGTTTTAATAGAGGGAATGGGACTGTAGACTGTACTGCTCATATGTATTATCTGTTGTATGTTTTTTTCTTGCTGTCGCTGCATTGTATTTCTGATTACGTATTTATTTGTTTGTTTGTTTTATTAAATTTATATCCCACCTTCCCCATGGGCATAGCAGGCTCAGCGCGGCTTCCAAACAAACCAATCTGCACTCAATGCAGATTTAGTGCGGCTTCCAAACCAACCAATCTGCACTCAATGCAGATTTACAATTAAAATTAAAAAACACATAAATCAATTAAGATTAAAACCTATAAACAATCTAACAGATATACAATATACCTCAATAAATGATGTTAATACCAGCAATATAGAATCTGCGGTCCCTGGAGGGGAGGCCATATCAGGTGGATGCCCGCTGCCTCGACTGAAAGCCTGGCGGAAGAGCTCCATCTTACAGGCCCTGTGGAACTGTAACAGGTTCCACAGGGCCCTGATCTCATAAGAGAGCTCATTCCACCAGGTGGGGGCCAGGGCTGAAAAGGCCATGGCCATAGTTGAGGCAAGTTGAACATCCTTAGGGCCAGGGACTACCAGGAGATGCTGGTTTACAGAACACAATGTGCTGCGTGGCTCAAAGATACCACTTCTTCCACTGTTTAACATTTTATGTTTAATACTTATGCCTTCTTTCAGATTTCTGCAATCCTAGTTCTATTACATTGTTTATGTCACCTAATCCTATTGATTGTGAGGACTTACATCATGTAATCCGCCTTGAGCCTCAGTGAGAAAGGCAGACTATAAAGAACACAAATAAATAAATAACTCTTTCTGGGTCATGTCAAGCTTAAACTCAGCACTTTCTATTGTAACACACTCAACACTTCCCCAACTGATGAGTAATCTGGGGTGGGGCAACACTTTAAGAGCTTGTCAGTTTGGATGAGAGAGATTTAAAACATTTTTGTGATATGCAGGTATTCAGTAATATACACTTAACCATGCAGGAGAAGATGGAGCATCCTAGCCTACAAAGTAGCACGAGTTTCTCAAAAAGCAAGCCTCTTGTTCTAGGTAGCTGCAAAACCCAGCTCTGTTTCCCCTTCCTGACTACATTACAAATCTCCCAAACCTTTGCTCTAATTCCTACCTAAATATGTAGCTGTGCATAAATTAACTGATCATCACCGGCCTTAATTAAGCAATCAGGTGTAGGTAGGATGGTGTCTTACCTTTCTTTAGACAAGGAAATCTGAACAATTTAACCAAACCAAAGTCATCTCCCGTCACCAGGACTGCATTGTTGTAATTTCCATCGACAGAATTGATATCAGTAACATTACTATACTTCGGCCAGATTCCATTCACTTCTGATCCTATTACACAAGTCCAGGAGGCCCAATGAATCCCTTTGATCTCATCTTTGCTTGTTAAAGGTTTTCCAGCTGAAAACAATCAGGTTAATAAGCTGTTTAACCATTTGTGTTAACACAGCACTTGGTACACTCTATGGCTTTCAAACTTTCTGCTTTGAAGGAACCTTTCCGCAGCAATGGATCTCTTGTATGTCTGCCACAAAATGCATTGATACAGAAAAAAAGCTAGTTTCAGAGGGCAGTCATGTTATTCTACAGTATAACAGCTAGATTTGAGTCCAGTAGTGCCTTAGAAACCAACAAGAGTTTCAGGATGTAAGCTTCTGAGAATCGATGCTCTAACAAAGGGAGCATTGACTTTTAAAAGCTTATACCCCCCTCTCCAACTTGTTGGCCTCTAAACTGCTACTGGACTTGAATCTAGCAGAAAAAGCTATGGTCCAATACAGCTTCAATAGCCAGTATTAAAAAGAAAGACTCTACTGCCAATGAATCTCTATGGATTTAGAGTAGCATCGCTGTATCTCTTGGCATCCACAGTGAAAACCCTATATGTGTTGCAATGGAAAACGGGATAGTGCCCACATCAATTTAATAATGGAAGTGCCAGTAAGGATTATGCTGTGACTGTACCTACTTGATGAAATTCCTGGACATCACAGAAGAACACATTCTAGGGCACCACATACGACACTGGCTGGACCTTACTGTTAACCAGCAAGAACACAGAATGCACAGAAGAACACACTCCCAACACTACCTTGTGTTTGTACATTCTAGGAGAAGATTGGCTTTGGTAGGTAAGATGTCTTTCAAGGACTTTTGTGGGGCATTATTAATTTTTTCACTGAGGAACATTTGATCACCTTTTGAACTACACCAGGATCCCCAGAGTACTCTTTGGAAACCACTCTTTTATATCAGTATGTCTCATCTGAGTCCAGTGGTTTAACTCAAAAATATGGAGACCAAATTATAAAAGAAGAAGAAGAAGCATAATCTATACCTATTACATCTATGTATCTATTTCTCAAATGTGGCTGATCTGTGAAAGGAGATTTTTCTCCAAACTTGCCCCCCCCCAGGCTTGCAGAAAAATCTTAAAGTTTTAAAAAATAAATGGGGAGGGGATTAAATCCCTGTTGTGGGCCAGCCTGCTTTAGCTGAGGATCACTCAGCTGATGCTGATAACATTCCCGTCAGCAACTCTGAGGCTCAACCAGCTGATGCTGTCAACAACCCTAAGACGGCGGAGGCAAGTCCTAGTGCCTCAGTTGCTGAGGACAGCATGTGCTCCAGCCCCATAAGCACTGGGAACACGGAAGAGACAACCTGATACAGCGCCTCAACAACCCAAGATCTTGGGGATACTTCACAAGCTGCCTTGCCTCCCCTTTCTCTGGAGCCAGGAGAACACAGGAGGCAACAGGTGTGCTTGGAGCTCCTTGAGAGGAGGCAGAGCATGCGCCTCACTGCCCAGCGACTGCCAAATCAAGAGCAAACCTGGGGTTAGTGAGCCAAATGGATGGTTCTCTCGCAAGCAATTAGACCCAGCTGTGAGCTGCCCATAAAGGATGGGACTTCAGATGGGGTAGGTGTGGGAGCAACTCATCAACTTTCTGGAGACGTGCAATCACACCACCCGGACATGTTTCTGTCTGCAACTCTTGAACATTTGGGTTTGACCCTGGACCTGCTCGACTATACCTCTTGGACCTGCTCAGACTCTGCTTCTTGGACCCTCAGCTGGCTTCCCTTGTGTATGACTCTGACTGAACTCTCGACTTTGTACTTCTGGTTAGTGATTCTGTCTTGTCCCCTTGGTCTCAGCTGAGTCTGCTCTGACCCAGGACAATCCCTCCCCAAACAAAAAAGGCTCCCAGTGACCCTGCAGTTGGCACAGCAGTTCTTGGGGGCCCTGCAGCCAGCTTGGAAGCTCCTAGGGTAGACTGAGAAGGGGTGGAGGAAAGAGAGAGGGAACACTGAAAAGGACTGGGGGGTAAGAAAGGGGGAAGATTGACATACAAAGGGTGAGGGGAGAAAGGGAGTAAGAGAGAATTCCTAGAGAAGGGGTGGGGAGAGAAATAGAGGGTGAAGACTGACATAGAAGGGGTCAGGGAGAAGGGCGTGAGGGTAGATAAGTGATGGGGACAGAAAGACAGAGGGGGAAACTTTGACAGAGAAGGGGGGAGAAGATAAAAAGCAAAGATGGGGGAATACCTCCTCCCCACAAGATTCTTGCGGGACCCTACAGTTGTATCTATATAATGAAACATTTCTGTCCTCCTGAAATCTATGCAGTAATTCCTGGTATGAAATTGACCAAAACAGTACCAACCTACTACTCAATAAAATTAGGCAGATACTCTTCCTAAACTCTGCTTTCTGTATCCCCTACCTATAGAGGTGAGGTGGGTAGTGACCAGAAACACAGCTTTTACTGTAGTAGCACCTTGGCTTTGGGATGCCTCCCCTCTGACACTTACTTTATTGTTCTTTAGGCATGAGATAAAAACATTTCTCTAATGATGGGTACCACATTTTAAAGATGTCTTTATGGTCTGCATCTAGTACATTTTCATATATATTTTTATGTCTGTTGTTTTCATTATTTTATTATATTTTTAAGCTTGTGAGCCATCTTGAATAGGTCTCAGAAAGGTGGTACCTAAATTCTTTAAATTAATAAAGAGATATATATTAGAGAGAGTTACTGCTCCCAATCATGATTATAATTTGTTTTTTTAATATTAGGGATCATTTTAAGGCTGTTAAGCTTTGAAAGAAACAGTTTCATATTCATTGGACAGCCAGAAAATCTATGCTTTGGATATATTTAATATATAGAATCATAGAGTTGGAAGGGGCCATACAGAACATCTAGTCCAACCCCCTGCCCAATGCAGGACCAGCCTAAAGCATCTCTAACAAATATTCGTCCAGCCTCTTCTTGAAAGCTGTCAGTGAAGGGGAGCTAACCACCTCCCAAGGCAGCTGATTCCACATTTGAATCACTCTGACCATGAAAAAGTTTTTCCTAATATCCAGCTGATACCTTTCTGCATGTAATTTAAACCCGTTGCTTCAGGTCCTATCCTCTGCTGCCAACTGGAACAACTTCTTGCCCTCCTCCAAATGACATCCTTTCAAATATTTAAAGAGAGCAATCATGTCCCCCCTCAATCTCTTTTTCTCCAAACTAAACATTCCCAAGGCCCTTGGCCTTTGCTCATAGGGCTCAGTCTCCAGACCCCTGATCATCCTTGTCGCTCTCTTCTGCACCCTCTCGATTTTGCCCACATCCTTTTTGAAGTGAGGCCTCCAGAACTGCACACAGTACTCAAGGTGCGGCCTGACCAAGGCAGTATACAGCGGAGCTATGATGTCCTGCGATTTCGATGCTATGGCCCTTTTAATGCAACCCAAGACTGAATTTGCCTGTTTTGCCACCGCATCACACTGACTGCTCATATTTAGTTTACAGTCCACTCTTACCCCAAGATCTGTTTCGCATACACTACTCCCTAGAAACGTATCCCCCATCCAGTATTTGTGCTTGACATTTTTGTGGCCCAGATGTAATACTGTGCATTTATCTTTGTTGAATTGCATCCTGTTCGCAACTGCCCACTTCTCCAGAGTATTCAGGTTTTGTTGAATTTTAACTCTGTCTTCTTCAGTGTTTGCTACTCCTCCCAGCAAATTTAATGAGTACCCCTTCTACCCCTTCATCCAGGTCTTTGATAAATATATTGAAAAGTACCAGGCCCAAAACCAAGCCCTGCAGCACCCCACTGGACACCTCCCTCCAATCTGATGAAATGCCATTGACCCCCACTCTTTGGATGCAGTCCTCTAACCAGTTCCCTATCCAATGAACAGTCCAGTCCACAGTCTTCCAGTTTTCCCATCAGAATATCTTACTTTGGCTGAAATGAAAACATGCATTCATTTCAGACTCCACTCACTCGAAGACGTAGATACTGAGCACACATAATGAACAAACTGGAAATAGAATTAATTATACAATTCCTTTCTTTTCCAGAAACAGCATGATTCTTCTTTTTGAATGAAATGGAAGCTATACAGATTTAGAGATAGTCAGGAGGCGATTCTAGACTTTTATGCTAAGTATAAATCCCTGGGTTTGTTTTTTTCCCCCAAAGCCATCTATAACTGCAATACAAATTCACAGAATATGCTTTATTTAGTCTCTAACATGCCACAAATAACAGATACACATTACCCAAATGCATTTCCTCACTGCAATGACAGCAAACAGCTTTTCAAAAGAGCCCCATTAAAGGCTTGATACCGTATGATATGGAGCATTCCAGCTTGCATATTTAACTGCTTTCCAGATTCTAAATATATTCAGTGCCCTATGTCTTATTTCTTACTCTGCTTAAACTTATTCTTATTGACTTTTGAATGTCTTCATTCTCTTACTCCCACTTACCTCTTCTTCTCTGTCTTTGGCCTTTTTTTGCTCCTCTGATGCACTTGTCCTCCTTAAAACCAAAATTACTGCCTCTCCTGGGATACTGGGTCCCCTTTCCCTTCAGCCCCCTGTTCATTTTGTAGCCTTTGCTCAACTGGTATATTTAAATACTGGATGAAAAACTTAATTTTATGGTGTTCATAACCTCTTCCTTTTCTCCCTGCTTCCTTTGCTTTGATTGTAAGCTTGAGGATGTCTCATGGAGGGGAGAGATTATGATGATTTGGAAATCATAGCTGATTCTGAACATTTCAATCCTGATATTGACTAATTTTGGTGATTTAGGGTCAGATCTAGACCCTCCCCATTACTAATCTAACTCCAAACATAGCCACCAATTTAAGAATTAACTGTGTATGAAAAAGGCAGCAGCCCTGCCACAAGTGTAACTGTATTACTTTACTTATCTGATATGAAACTATTTACAGTTTAGTATAACGTAATCCAGAGTATGTTATTCACACTTGAGTCCTATTGAAGTTAATAGGTCATGCTGCATAGTTCAGATCTACTAGAGTGGGTCTTAGGTCCACTTGTCTCTGGATCATGCCATTGTTGATATAGTGATAAAACATTAAGATTGATAATTTTAAAACATTATATTTGGGTTTATTGCAAACAAGATACTCAGGTACAACAGATTAAGAGAAATTCTGACTTACATGGCATCCTGTAGAAGAAGCGTTCTCCAGCACCATCATTAGTTTGCAAGAACTTGCTGTCCAAAGACCAATCAATATGTGTGATAAAACTAGAAGACTTGCTGCATTCTCCTGTTTTTTTGTAGCGCTGAGCAACTGCATAGATATCTACTGGACCATCATTGGATCCCACAGCAAGGAAGCAGCCATCTGGTGAAAACTTCATTTCATGAATTACTTCTTTCCTATCTTTAATATGAACTACCTCTGTCATATCTCTACAAAATCAAGATATAAAATGACAAAAGACAAAAAAATCAAGATTTATAAGTGAGAGAAGTTAATGGTCATGCACATTCATTTGAAATAAAACTTAATAAAAACAGACATGTCTAAGCCATGTGCCTTGTGATTATATCACCATGATTTGCCTTGTCAAAGAATATATTTTGCAAGTTATCTCTGGTTTAGACAGTAAGGTGACATTTTTTGTTTGGTCTTATCTGTTTAGTGTCTCTTGAAGGTTCTTCAGACCCTGAATGTAAACAGATATGACAGCGCATCTAACTTAACACAGTTGCTGAAGGAAAACTCAAGAAAATGCATCTAAAAGGCTTGAAATTTGACCCTCAAGTTACTTTACTGGGCTTAGCATGATAGACAGCAACTAAATTAGTATAACTTGGTTCACTCATCTGTTTTGTCCTCAATGCATCCAGGGTGACCAGTGCTGAAAACTGAACACATGAACTCATACTACATTGAAGTGCACTTGCAACATTTCTGCCTCCTAATTTATTTATTTTTATTTTATTGGGCTTGTATCCCGCTCTCCCCACAAGCAGGCCAGAGCGGGTTCCATCAATATTACTACAATTTACAGTAACAATTAAAATCAATTTAAAACAACAATTTAAAACAGTACAAAGTCATAAAATACCATGCAAAATCTAATCAAATGTCTCAGCAATTAAGATGGAACAGTAATGTGGGTTCCCAGGTAGCTGTTCAAATCCAGGACACTGATGAGAGGCCAACCAAAAGGGGGGGACGGCCACTGCCTCAACTAAAACCCCGGCAGAAGAGCTCCATCTTGCAGGCCCTGTGGAATTGTAGCAATCCTGGAGGGCCTGCTTTAGCTGCATCAACTGCAGCAGCCAGAAGTTGGTGTGACCCCACACTAACCCAAAATTAGATAACTCTTCATTAATCTTTGATGAAATTTTTAAAGCATTTCAGTTTAGATTTTGTTAGACAGATTTTCCTAGTTCATTTTATGCACTACTGTAGTAACAATATCACTTGTTTCTATCTTCCTCCCTTGAAAAATGTTTTCAAGATGTTTGCATTTCTACTAGTGTTCTAAAATGATAACCCATTTAAATTTAAACATTTAAAATGTTTCAAGCTAATATGATTCAACTGTTAAATAATTATTTGCTAGAACTCTACAACAAATGATGTGTAACAGAAAAGTACAAAGAGCTCTTCATTGTATGGCAAGAACAGTCCATGGAAAAGCTACATTTGATATGAAGGCATTTCTAGAAAAATGGGATAGTAATGAATAGAAATAATTAGCATACTTGGGCATTTTCCAATGCAAAATATAAAGTTTAAACAAATCACTTAATTTCAGGATTTTGCAGATATGTGACAGGCATAGCAAAAATCTTTCAACTGCATGCATTTGTTTAAAAATGTATATAGCATTAGGGCTTTTCACTTAGATCCATTAATGAATTACTTCACCTTTGCTTTTTGCCCCTCTTTCTCTGTGGAACACCAAAAAGTAGCAAGTCCTAAACTAGAGAAGCCCTGAATGTAGTTTTTTCTTCTTTAAGCCAACATTGGCATAGGAAAGGGGTGGGGAGTGAGAAAACATCTTTATTGGGTTTGTGGTGCAGGAGAAAAGGGGGTTAACTCTTCCACACACAAATGGGCTTCTGCAGCTACTATTGGAGGGTACACAAGGCAACTCTTAAGTTTACCCTAGTAGAGAAAATAACCACTTGGGGTGTGTGTCTGAGATTAAGACATCATATAGAGGAATACCGCCCTTCCTGCTGCCATTGTCCCTCACTGCTGCTAATTGGCATAAAAACATGCTGGAAATCCATTCACAGATCTTCCAGCATCTTATCTGGCTGATTATATTTTAAAAATCACACTGTCAGTTTGTGCGTATTGTCCACACTTTCATGTTCAATGTTCATGCACACCATCTACTGAACTCATTGTGATCTGTGACATAATTGTACAAATTCTATTCAGAATCCACTCCTCATTTCTCATAAAATGGCTGCTAGTGCTGAAATTCACATTCTCCTACCTCACTCTCAGAACAATGAAAGAACCATCTTTCATTCCCAGGGCTAGCTGAGATCCATCAGGACTGAAAGATACACTCCGCACGGCTTCCTCCATATTACAACGGGCAATCAAGGCATGGTCAGCTAGGCTCCATAAACTACACAACATTAAGGACCAAAGAAAAGTGTTTATCATTATAGAATGTGTCTTTTTTGTGGTTAAGAAAAACAGTGATATGGAATTTTTGAATCAGATGATCTCAAGTATCTCACAATTTAAGCCATCAGAAACAGCCAGTATCAACTGTTAAAAATTATTGAAGCCAGTCTCCTAGAAAACTGTCTTCTTCTATCCCAGCTCTAAAACTGATACAATTGCATGAGATCAAATTGAAGTGACACATAGATTAGGTTTAAGGAAGGGAATTCAGTGAAAGTGTTTAGTTTCATTTAAAATTATGGCAGTGCAACGAATGTACAGTGCAATCCTAAAAGGAGTTACACTCTTCTAAACTCATTGACTTAACTGGATTTAGAAAGGTTTAATTCTGTTTAGGATTGCACTGGTAAACCTGCTCTTAAGTTTGAATCTACAAAGAATAACGGGACCTCAGACTTCATCTTCATCAACATTTAAAAATACAAGAAACAAACATCACAGCAAAAAGAAAGCCTACATGTGTAAACATGTAAAAAAAACCCATAAATCTCTGGTATAACATAGAAGTTACAAAGACTGAGAGGCAGCTGTTGAAAACACCAGTGTTGCATCTCCTTCTCCTCTTTTTCTTGGTAATATCTACTAAGACAAAATGCATAGCATGCTATCATGATTTTGTGAGTTTGCCTACCTCCACTAATGGCAGCCAGCAAAATAAAACAAAGTGGGATGGGGGAAACTGCCCTATCAGTATGCCACATTATAGATTTTACTTTGCTAGATGTCATAAGAGAGAAACAAGCAGGAGAGGCAGAATACTATTTATGGCAGCAGTCACATGACCACTGCAATGCCTACTTTCAGCCTGAGAAGGTAAAGAAAGATATATTACTACAGCTCAGAACTGTTCCACATATTATAGAGCTCAGTTTCACAAGTCCCTTGACAATGGGCACACACCATGGAAAAGTGTGATTAATTAGGAACTCCCTGGTGCATTTATCCTTTCCATATCTGTGCTCAACATGGGCACGTGCTGAGCACAAGCTCCTATTCCAAGCTGCCTAGACATAACTGCTGGATGCTGGAAAATGAAGCTGGGGTGGGGGTGGGGGTTCATTTCATGTGGATGGTATGAAAATTTGAACCAAACACTCTTTGAGCCCTTGGCATGCATTTTGAGAACAATTATACATTTAATACTCTGCAGAACCAGAACTGAGCCAGGGCAGAAATATAGTCAACCCTTAAGACCAGTTTATATGGTCTAAAATAGAATAGGGTAGGAACCCATCCAGAATAGAACCCCTGATTTTTTTGGCAGCTACACAGCTATTGTAACCAGTTTGGTTGACCAGTTTGGTGTAGTGGTTAAGTGCGCGGACTCTAATCTGGGAGAACCGGGTTTGATTCCCCACTCCTCCACTTGCACCTGCTGATGTGACCTTGGGCCCATCACAAGCTCTGGCACAGCTGTCCTTGAAAAAGAGCAGTTTCTGTCAAGAGCTCTCTCAGCCCTGCCTACATCACAGGGTGTCTGTTGTGGGGAAAGGAAGGGAAAGGAGATTGTAAGCCACTCTGAGACTCCTTTGGGCAGTGAAGGGCGGGGTATAAATCCCATCTCTTCTTCTTCTTCTATTTGAATATTCACACAAATATTAAATGCTTGATTTTTGCATGCAGCTGTAACACATTGGTATGCGCAGCAGGGAAGGATGTCAAATGCCTCTCTTTTGTAAGGAGAAAATTGCAACCCTGACTGAAGTCTGCCTGAAACCCTTCTCATTGTTGCTTTTAAAATACATGCATTATCCAGAAACTTCTTTTGGAAGCTCTCCTATTCCCTTATAAAAAACCTGATTTTTGCAGAGCTCAACCAGTCCAGGTAATTCTGCTTCTGGGGGAATTACTCCAGTTTCTTCTATCAGCTACCTGGCCACGGTGGTTATTTACTAGGGCTCCTACTGATACATCCCCCAAAAATGTTACTTAGCAACCACACCAGCAAAGAAAACAAAGGAGATGCTGGAAGGTTACTCATGTTTCAACACATTTAAAAGTTTTCCTGCTGTGAGAAAAAGCGTATGGAACTAGAATAATTTTCAAAGCAGCATCATATATCACTTCAGCACTTTATTTGCTCTTATTTTAAAAAGTATTCATTGTAAAACTAGAAATGCAAACAGAAAATCACAACTGTAAACACAGGATAGGGAGGGAGACTGCCCATTGATACCTGAAAGATGTAATATTCCAGCAAAAATTAGATTTGGACATGTTATCTTGGCTAGTGGGCTTGGTTGATCATGCATTGTGCAGGCCTATCCTACAGCAGGACCATTTGGAAAAATGTGTTGTGGAACTGTGGCTGGGCTAATCAAGTGGGTAATAAATGCTAGTATGAAGACCATAAACAAAACTATCTGAATTTTTTTTAAATTTTCTTCTGTCATCAGTAGCCAACAGCTTGAATTTTATAGCTGTATCAAAATCTTGCAAAGAACAAGAACTACCAAAAATAGCTGTTGTGAAAACTGATGACCAGTGAACAGAAAGCCGTAAGAATGTTTCTGGCCTTACCGCACGGATCGATCATCACTGCCCGTGACAACTAACGGTTTCTTGGGATGCACCGCCAGAGCCCAGAGTTCTCCTTCACAGTGACCCTGCATTATCAGCATTGGCTTATCTCTTTCTCTCACAATCACCTCAAATATTTCACTGTCTTGGGTCCCTGCTAAAAGTCGATCTGCTTTCCAACACACGCTTCGGATGGACAAACCTGAGAAAAGAACAGCAATGTCTCAGAGCTGCAATAATTAGTAATCATCGTTCAGTGAAATGTTCAAGCTTCACTTTAGCATTTTTAACTCTCACTGGTTTCAGTTAGACTGAAAAGAGCTCAACTTTGCCAGGAAGGGGCTCATAGTGTGCCCTCTCTATGTAATTCATTAAAAATAACAAATGAAACATATTAGAATAGATTTTAGGCAAAAAAAAAATATTACTAAAGCTTGTATATGGAGTAATCCTCCACTCATGAGGCAATAGGTTCAGAAACATTTCAGTCCAATACACACTTACCTGGAAATAAGACCCCATAGAACACAGGCCTGTGACTCAGTAGCACAGCATTTGCTTAGCAGAAAGACGGTCCTAGGTTCAATTTTCAGCCTCTTCCATTAAAAAAGGATTTGGCAGTATGTGATGTTAAAGACCTTTTCTTATAGTACTGACCTTGATAGGCTAATGCTATGACTCAGTATAAGGCATTTTTGTGTGCACTTCCCCACAAACAGGCACCGGACTGGGATGTGAGACTGAAGTCACACATGCACTCCTAAGGAGCAGGAAAGTTGAGATGCAACCGTAAATCAACCTTTCTGTATACCTCTCAATGGATTCAGAAATCCAGCACAAGGGCACTAAAAACTGCTCTCTTTTCCCCCACAAGGACTGACTAACAGCAGAAGGCTGCAAAACATGTTATGTGTGAATTCAGAATTAAGTGTTTGGAGCTGGTCATTATGGAGAAGAGTTTGCACCAATATAAATTCTCATTAGGCCATGCTAAATTAATCAATATTTATTTGGGAGGGGACATTACTAACTGGTAGAGCACCCACTTGGCATGTACAAGGTCCCAGGTTTAATCCCTGACATCTCCAGGTAAAAGAATCAGGTAGTCGGTGACATATGAAAGACCTCTGCTAGAGATCCTGGAAAGCCACTGCCAGTCTGAGTAGACAGTACTGACTGTGATGGACCAAAGGTCTGATTCAGTACAGGGTTGCTTCATATGTTCATTTCCTTGCAATCTCATACTTTCCTGGGTATCTACATTGATTTTGCAAGTTCATAAATGTAAATTGCAAATTTATTTCAATTTAACTTATTAATTAATCAGTTAACTGTTTAGAAGGTACATGATTCATCAGCTGACATTCTTTAATTGGTTGACAGTCCCAGGACTCTTCTGCATTCTCATTTTCCACACCTGTGTGTCCCTGTTGCTTGGGGGGGGGGGGCATGTGTTTTTCTCCCTCTAGTGGTCAAGCCGATATTACATTGCTGTATGTCCAATATAAAAACCTTGCAGATTTAAACTGCAGGTTTTTAAGCTGGACATACAGCGATGCAGTCAAACAGACCACTAGAGGGAGCAAAACACATGTGAAAAAGAACCCCCCTCCCCCGAATTATTAGGGATGCACAAGCAAAGAAAATGAGAATGCAGAAGAACCCCTCGTTCAGAGAATGAGAGAGTTAATAATGTATTTCTTATTCTAGTTCCCCAGCACCAATACTGAGGACTAAGGACAGGCACAAAATTTCACACAGGCCAACTGTGGGCTCAGTAAAACTGTTTTTTCTGCCTGCCTGGAACTGCAAAACTGAGAAGGTTGTCAAGTACCTGGCAAGCCACAGAACCTGCAAGTTCTGAAAATCTGATTTGGGATAATACTGGATACCTGTGTGGCATGACTCTATTTTATTTATTTATTTTATTGGGTTTATATACTGCCCTATCCCAAAACGGGTTCAGGGCAGCTCACAACAAAGTTCAATAACAATAAATATAATTAGATTAAAACTAAAAACATTCAAACAATCTTATAATAAACAGTAAGCAGGATGGCAAACCCAGGTAAAAAGAATTTTCAGGGCAGTCCACTAAAAACTTCCTGCTGGATTATCAGACTGACGATTCTCACAGAAACTCTTTTCTGTTTTCGGCATGTCCCTCTGCCTATTCACTACATTCAAGTTTCTCCTCATTCAGTCCAAAGAGCAGTCAAAGGCACAATCCTCACTCTCTTAAGAGTAGTAGTTGACAGATCTTTATTTGACAGAGAAATGAATATTCATTTATATTTCTAGGTTACCAGCAATTACTATGTTAATGAAGTACATATGGATAAACACTACAGAACAGTTAATTCTCCCTGCTGGCAGGCTTGCAATCTGTTTCATCAGCTCAAGCACTCTTTTACTGTGTACTAAACAGATGTGTTATAGTTTCTAAAAATAGGCAAACAAAACTGATTTTAATCTCCGTATTTCATCAGAATCATAGGTTCTTATGATTCCTAGCTGTTCATTGCATGGCATTGTTCTAAATTTTAAAGCCTAGTTCAGACCCTGTTAAATACTTTCGTATCAGAACATAAAGAGCTTCGCAGGACCACCTAGTACTTCATCCTGTGTACAAAAGTAACCAGCTGATGCCTCAAGGAAGCCCATAGGCAGGACATGAAGGCAGCAGTTTCCCCCCAATGTTTGTTTGCAGCACCTGGTATTCAGAGTTATACTGCCTCTGAAACTGGAGGTTCCATTTAGTTATCCCAGGTAATAGCCATCAAAGGCACTTTCCTCCATGAACAGCCCACCTCAATGAATATAGTGTGGGAGAAGTAGTGTCTGAACTTAGTGGTGATTTGATTGAGGTTCCTGCACATTGCTGTTGAGAAGCTGCAGCTGACAGCATGATCAGTCTGGGCTAGGCACTACTTCCTCAATGTCACTGTGTCCACAGGGACACTTCTTGTGGAGGATTTATCAGTGTCAGAACCAGGTCAAAGTATCCACGGAACCAACTAATTTTTTTCCTCCCAGGAAGTATATATCTACGCATACTACTTGCTGAAGTCATGGCTGAGTGGTCATTCAAATGTGGGTCTCCCCACTTCTAGTCCAGCCCTCAAACCACTACACTACACTGGCTCTCAGTTGTGCAGATGCTGTAGCAGATGCTTCCACCAATGCGCGGGCCAGGTGTGTGTGGAGGGGATGGAATCTTCCACCCCATTCACGATTCCCTTCACCATGTGTACAGAAAGAACCACAAGAACGTCCTTGCAATCCTCTGCAGAATTCTGTCTTAAAACTGATGATTTACAACTGTACACCCCTGCTGCAGTTTTCTTTATACTTTAGTGCTTTTTCCCAGGTGTTTTCTTGACAGTCAATGGATAATAAATGACACTAATTTGATGCACCCCTGATGAGAGCTTTCTTTCTTAAAGACTCAAATTCCCTTAAGACTGGAATGCATTTTAGACCCCCTGCAGGAGAAAAACTGATGGACCTTTACAAATAGCACATTAGGTGTAAATGACATTTATAAATAAATGATGGCACCCTAAAGCGGCTTGTCATTTTGAAGAAAACTGCTGCACTCCCACATGCCATGGCAACCAATTCTCAATCTCCAGACCCTTCCAAAATGTACGGACCCTGGAACTAATCCAACACAGTCCAGGGATTCTACATGGAACTGTGTGCATATCTCCTAACCTAAAAATGAGTTACACGACTAATTTACTATTTATATATGTACTAGGAGTAATCCCCGTTGTGGGAAGAAATAAAATGGGATCTAGAAGGAAGCTCCAGATGAGTGTCCTGACTGTGGCTGGTGGGGCGGCAGAGGGAAGCGGAAAATGGAGGGAGGCAAGCCATGTTTCTTTCCTTCTGCTTAGCTATAAGGCAGGGCTGTCTCAAGTCATTTTGCTGCCCCAAGCGGGTAGAATGGGAGGACAGCCTCATGGTAACAGATATGGTTCTCTCCACCTCTGACTTATTTTTTTTTTTGGAGGGGGGTGTTATGTTTTTTTTTTTTAAAAGAATTTATTTATACTTTTTCCAACAAACAAACAAACAAAAAATAAAAATCCAAGTACATTCCCATTGTACAAATCAGTTTCGGAGTGTTCATTATACATTTTTTTCAAACCATTTATACACTTTAAACCATCTTTTCTTATAAGCGTTATCATCTCTCTCTGCTAATATCATATTTAATCTGTCCATTTCTGCTATTTCGAATATTTTTTCCATTATTTCTTCTTTTTTAGGTAGTAAATCTGATTTCCATTTTTTCGCTATCAGAATTCTGCTTAACGTGAGGATATATAACACAATACATTTATCATCTGTATTTACTATATCTGGCAAGATATTAAGCAAGTAACTTTCCGGTTTAAGCTGCAGATCTATTCCTACAATTTCTTTTATCAAATATTTTACCATTTTCCAAAATTTTACTATTTTGTCACACCTCCACCAGATATGATAGTATGTTCCTACGTTATTATTACATCTCCAGCATGTATCCGAGACATTTTTATAACATTTTGTTATTTTATCCGGTGACCAGTGCCACCTGTAAAACATTTTTAGGATATTCTCTTTGTATGGTGTGGCTCTTACTAATTTTTTCGTTTCCCACATTTTTTCCCATTCTTGCGTTTTTATTGTGTAGCCTACATTTTGTTCCCAGGTTTTCATGCAGGGTTTTATCGCTAAATCTTCCATACTTTCCTTCTGAAAAAGTTTGTATAGCTTTTGTATTTGTTTATCTGCCGAGGACAACCAAATCTTGTCTAGTTCTAACATTGAGTCATTAAATTTTGTTTTTTTGTCCTTAGCAAATCTTGATTGTATTATTGTTCTCTCCCAACTTGTCAAGTTTATATTCATTTCTTGTAGGTTCTCTAATGTTTTTAATTCTTTTTCTTTGGTTAATAACTTTTCATAGGTTGCTTTTTTTCCCTCTGTTAGTAAAGCTGGCAATATAAAGGCTTCGAGTGGTGACACCCACATTGGTACTTCTTTGTACATTTTTTCTTTAATTTTCTTCCAAATCTTAATCAATGCCCCTCTTATAATATGGTTATTGAAGTTTTTATGCACTTTTTCCTTATCGTACCAAATGTAGGCGTGCCAACCCATATACAGATCATGGCCCTCTAGTTGTAGTAGTTTTTTATCTTCTAAGAGTATCCATTCCCGTATCCATCCCATTGCTGCTGCTTGATAGTAAATCTTCCAGTCTGGCATACCGCATCCTCCTCTTTCTTTTCTATCTTTCAAAAATTTCCATCTTATTCGCGCTTTTTTACCTTGCCATACGAATCTTCTTGTCATGCGATCTAGTTCTTCAAAAAAGTTTTCATTTTTCAAGACCGGGATACATTGCGCAAAGAATAAAAATCTCGGGAGGATGCTCATTTTGATAGTAGCTATTCTTCCCAACAATGAGATGTGTAGATCTTGCCATTTTTCAAGATCTTTCTTGATCTCCTCTAGAAGTACTTTGTAGTTATTATCATAGAGGTTCAGATTGTTATTTGTAATGTTAATGCCTAGATATTTTACCTTTTTTACCACTTCTATATTGGATATCCGGTACAGGTTTTCTACCTCTGTTTTATTACAATTTTTTGTTATTATTTTCGTCTTTCCTAAATTTATTTTGAGACCTGCTTTTTCCCCATATATTTTTATAGTATTGAGTAAATGTCCAATCGAAGTTTTGGGGTCCTCCAGAATAAACACCAGATCATCCGCAAATGCTAGAAGTTTATATTGTTCACCTTTTATCTTGAGACCTGTTATTTCTATGTTATCCCTCACCATGTCATTTAAAGTTTCAATACCGAATATGAATAGTAAAGGGGAGAGTGGGCAGCCTTGTCTTGTTCCCTTCTGTATCGGAACATTTTGTGTTAAATCTCCATTCACAATTATCCTTGCCCATTGTTCTTTATATATGGCATTTATCAAAGTCTGGAAATTGTCGCCACACTCCCATTGCTTTAACTTGTTTTTCAAGAAGTCCCAGTTTACGTTGTCAAATGCTTTTTCTGCATCTAGAAAAACCATTGCCATTTGACTTCCTGGGTGTTGTTCATAATACTCTATTATATCCACTATTATTCTCAAATTGTTCTTTATTTGACGTTTTGGTAGGAATCCTGATTGGTCTCTGTTTATTACTTGTGTTAGTACTTTTTTTAACCTTGATGCTAATATTGTTGCAAAGATCTTGTAATCCACGTTTAGGAGTGATATAGGCCTATAGTTTTTTATCTCATTTACTTCTGTCTTTGGTTTGGGAATTAAAGATATTAATGCTTCATTCCATGATGTGGGTAAATCTCCTGTTTTCATCGCATTTTGGATCATATCTTTAAATATTGGGTTTATTTCATGCTCTAATTTTTGATAAACTTCTGCCGGAATGCCATCTGGTCCTGGAGTTTTCTTCTTCTTTTGTTTTTTAATCGCCTCTACAATATCACAGGTTGTGAATGGTTCATTTAGAATTTTTCTTTGTTCTTCGTTGAATTTCTTTGTATTATGATTTTCAAGGAATTCTTTAATTTCCTTCTTGTCTGTCGCTGATTGGCTATAAAGTTTTTTATAGAAGTCTTCGACAATATTTTTCAGATCTTGGTGATTGTGTTTTATTTCTTGGTTTACATTCTTTAAACTCGAGATAGTCCTTTTTTCTTTCTCTTTCCTAAGTTTGTAGGCTAACCAGCGTGTTGGTTTGTTCGCGTTCTCAAAATAATACGCTTTGGTATATTCAATTTGGTTAGCTATTTCCTGTGTTAATATTAAGTTTATTTGGTGTTGGATGTGTTTTATCTTAATTTTTGTTTCCTCCACAACTCCTTTGGTTTTCCCTTTTGCTTCTTCCACTTTCAGCTCTTTTGTCAGTTTTTTGAGATTTTCACGTTTTAGCTTTCCTTTCCATGCTTGGTATCTTATAAATATGCCTCTCACGACTGCTTTCAGAGTGTCCCAAATGATAGATAACGGCATATTTTCTGTTCTATTAGTATTTATAAATTCCTTTATTTCTTTCTTGATTTCTCTTACAAATTTTTTATCTTTGGTGTCTGAAGCAGAGCCCAAAGGGTTTTAGGGGGAATTCAGTCATCCCTGGAGCGATTTTCTCACTTTTTCGATTTTTGTGCACATAATGGAAGCATGCTAGGTATGTAGGAGAAGCTTCTGAGGCCCACGGAGCTTTCTTTCCCTCAGTCTAAGTATCCGCACGGCGCCCTCTGTTGGCTATTAGAATATATGATATACTGGAGGATAAGAAAAAAAGTGCCCTCAGCCTTCCATAACTACCTCTACCTCATGAGATGCCCCCCAATGTGCCCATCTGAAACTGATCAATACCAGCTTTAAGGGCTGGAATTACCTAGAATTGTGTATAGAAATATTGATTTCTAAAAGTCATACCTTCTCCTGTGATGACATTCTGTGTCTCTGTTTCCTGTTGCAGGCCAAATGGTCCAGGGCAGACTAAATGGCCTGAACAACCTCAACAGCCATGCCATATAACCACACATTCTTTAACACCTCTAAGTGGAAGAGCCAGACTTCAAGGCGCCTGCTTTAAGGCTACATGGGCCATGTCACGTACATCATGGAGAAGCTGGAAGCTGGGTCACCTGACTGCAGGAGGGGCCTCCAAATTTCTAGCCTATCCCCACACACAGCTATGGCAACCAACAATTGGCCACACACCCCTGCTGCTCGTGATTGGCTGAATGGCCACAGCTGATTGCAATTAGATTGGGGTATAATTCCATTGATCGCTATGGGAGTGATTCTCTTAGCTTTTGCTCTCTTAGCTCTCCCTTCCTCCTCTTGTCAGAGTCTGTTTTATGACACCTGAAATGCTGTCCCTTACGAGACAAAGAGTTGCTTTGTGACTTGGAGCACATGGTGTGCAGAGATGGGATTCCTACTCAAAATCTCTTGGTGCTACCTGGATTATCACCATGGAAAATCTTGAACTCTTGGATGCTATCCTGATCTTAGTAACTATGTATCTTTAATGTGTAGTTAAGGCAAATTGCCCTAGCCTTTGTTATTTTTGTAATCTTTTATAGTCTGTTGCTGTGCTCTGTACTGAATAAAGATCCTCCTGATTGCTAAATTGGTTTTGAGGTTGTAACTGAATTCCAAGTCTAAGTTCTGTGCCTAACGCTCACCCCATATACGCTACCATTGGAGAGTAAAGTGTGCACCTCTGGATAGAGTTGCTATTGTGTTAAATCCCAGATGCTAACTAAGGGTTTGGAATCTCTCCCTTAGGAAAGGCAGGGACTAGTTAAAAGAGGTTCTGGTGGCATATTGTTCTGGAAACCAGAGAGGGTATAGACCATCTTGTGGTTTGTTGTTTAATGTACTGAAAAAGTACAGGATTCCCTCCCATTCCTGGACTGGCCTGGGTGGCTAATCCTGTACAAATTGACAAAGTCTTTTACCGCACAGTCTGTTCACTGCTTGTTTTTACTTTGAGCTTGCAGGACTTTAAGACAAGCAACAGTCATGGAAACCTTTCACAACTATGTTTCACATCCAGCTGTATAGGCAATTCAGACTTGCCTTGTCCTTGGCCCATCAAATAATGAAATCTCCTTAACCAAAAATATATCCTGCAATAGGGTAACACAAAACTAAATTAACTCATTCTGAGCCTATCACTTGATAGATTTGCTGATATACAGGCAGAGTGCATACTTTACTCTTTGAAGAGAAATTGAAAGATCAAAGCAGATATGTCCAGGAGGAAAACCAAAATGCTGACATCTAACTATCAGAATCAAGGTCATTTTGGGAAAACCCAGACTCTACACATGGTAGCATATGATAACACATAGTTTGGACCCTAGGATGGGGTTGCCAGCCTCCAGGTGGGGCCTGGAGATCTCCTGCTATCGCAATGGATCTTCAGACAATAGAGAAAATAGAGTTCCCTTGGAGAAAATGGCTGTTTTGGGGTGTACAGTTGTAAATCATTAGTTTTGCCTGGCTAATTAGGACAGAATTGCATCTGCAGAGGACTGCAGAGACGTTCTTGTGGTTCCTTTTTTACACATGGTGAGGGGAATCATGACTGGGGCGACAGCCATATTTATGAATCCTGAATGGCTGCTCTATGACATTGTACCCTCTATGATTCTGTACCCCCTCTTCCTCCCCAAACCCTGCCCTCTCCAGGCCCACCTCCAAAATCTCCTGGTATTTCCTGACCTAGAGCTGGCAACCCTACCCTAGGAACAACGTGAAGCTTGCAATAAAAGATCTCTCAAATGTGCCTGTTCAAGGAGATCAAAAATTCTCAGCTCCCTAAAGGCAACCAGCTAATCCCATGTCGCTCCAAAATGAATAGATGGGAGTGTTGGCAGCACACAACAAATGGCTACTGTAAGAAGGCAAAGTCAGTCCTTCCATTGGCTCCGCCTGTCCAATGATGCACTGTGCTACCTTTGAATGATACAGGTTGGCTACTGCATCCCTGGCTCAAGCCAAGCTATGAATGAATTTCCTTAAAGAAAAGAGCAAAAACATCCGTACTTTTAAAAACATTACAATATAATGACATTAATTACTGAAACAATTTATTTTTAAAGTTTTTTTTTAATTACCTTTGTATCCTTGTTCAGTCTCCCTGAGATCAATTTTAGTTATTGGCTTGAAATCAGTGTCCCATAACCGAATACAACCATCTCTTCCACCAGTGGCAAAACCTTCCTCACATGCATACATGCTAAAAATTCCAGCCTGTGGATTAACGACACAGTCAGTTTGATTTTTTGTCATAAGTTATTTTAAAACACAAACCAGTCTGTTACACTGTCAGGGGTAAATTCCACCCCAGCTATCACAGGCATCCCTTTTCCATCAGTGGAGGACAAAAATGCATAAAAGATGTGTATTGTGTTACAACTAGTCATGTGTCACTTCCCGTAGAATTATTTCATGATTGGGAAGACGATGGGAGACTTATTTTTTTTAGTTCATATAAGCCACCTTTCTCCGCAATAGGGACCCAAAGTAGCTTACATAGTTCTCCTATCCTCCATTTTATCCTCATAATAATGTTGTGAAGTAGGTTAGCTTGAGAATGTGTGACTGGCTCATGGTCACCCAGCAAGCTTCTGTGACACAGTGGTGATTCATACCTGAGTCTCCCAGATCCTAGGTCTCCCAGCCTCCCAGGTCTAACCACAGGCATATATTACCCAAAATAACCAGCACCAACCAACTGAATGAGCATGCAAAATTTATTCTTACAAGCACCTTGGTAACTGAGACACTCTTTAATGACAGAATTTCAGCCAGCATTCTGGATTTGACTGGAATTGAGAGAAGACGGACTTCACCTTCTTAGCTAACACAGGAAGATTTTTTGTTGAAAATGAAGCAGCTCCGTTAAGCCACATTATTCTTTATTAAGCATTTCTTACAGTATACATTAGAATGACAGCTGTGGCCTATTCTACCGGGAAACTCTCCTGAGGTGTTTCACAATGAAATGAAAGGGAGTTCCCAGAGCACAGCTTGTACAGTAAATAACTGCTAGTTACATAGGCAGCACCAGAGAGGGGATGAGGAGTGAGTGCCCTCCAGACAAGTAGCTTGCCATAAGCCACTGCCCCCCTCCCATTGCTGGACCCTGGTACTTATTTGAAGGAAAGGTGCTTTTCACAAACCCAGTGTGTCTTCCTGTATTATCCTCTCAAATAAGGTGGAACTACACATTACAAGTAGTTTCATGATCTCTTTTCACTACTTAAAAAACACTGGGACTTTGAAACAGACAAGCTGGAAGGTGTCCAGAGGAGGGCAATGAAGATGGTGAGGGGTCTGGAGACCAAGTCCTATGAAGAAAGGTTGAAGGAGCTGGGTATGTTTAGCCTGGAGATGAGACGACTGAGAGGTGATTATGATAACCATCTTCAAGTACTTGAAGGGGTATCATCTAAAGGATGGTGCAGAGTTGTCTTCTGTTGTCTCAGAAGGTTGGACCAGAAACAACGGGTTGAAATTAAATCAGAAGAGTTTTTGGCTAAACATTAGGAAGGACTTCCTGACAGAACAGTTCCTCAGTGGAACAGACTTCCTTGGGAGCTGGTGGGCTCTCCTTCTTTGGAGGTTTTCAAATAGAGGCTAGATGGACATCTGACAGCAATGCTGATTCTGTGAACTTAGGCAGATCATGAGAGGGATGGCAGGAAGGGTTGCCTCAGTGCTCAGTTCTTGTGGCCCTTTCTTACATGCCCAGGGAAATGCTGACTGCCACTTTGGGGTCAGGTAACAATTTTTCTCCGGGTCAATTTGGCTGGAGATCCTGGAGGGGTTTTTGCAGTCTTCTGGGCATGAAACAGCAGTCACTGTGTGTGTGTGTGGGGGGGAGGTATTTGTAAATTTCCTGCATTGGGCATGGGGGTTGGCCTGGATGACCCTGGAGGCCCCTTCCAACTCTATGATTCTATGCTTCTATAATTCTAAGGAGTAGACTAGCAAAGGGGAAGAGGAGCCATTTTAACATATCCGACTATAATACCTGTTATTATTTGAATAAATGAGAGCAATACTAAGCAGGACTGCTCTGAATCCAGGTCTCTCGATGTGGTTTATTTCCAGGAACGTTTTCTTCGGGGGTTGCTCTGTACAACTCCTTAAGAGCACCAAATGCAACAGGAACCACAATAACTTGAATATCTCAGTGGCATAACAGAGAAAGTTTTTGTAGTATTAAGAAGGCAACTTACACCATGAGCTCCTTGGATTGTGCGGACTAAGGTTAGCCCTTTCCAGACATAAATGTCTCCATTTAAAGCACCAGAGTAAGTAACATCATCTTTTGCACAGGACAAACAGAGTATGGTTTGTAGGTCTCCTGTCTTCCCAAATATTCCTCTTTTGGCTGTCAAGGCATTTCCACACAAGGTCCAAAACTACAGAATAAATGCAACAAAGAAAACATCTGAAATACTGACAATATGTTTCCTCAACACAACTTAGGTTGAGGTCACACACAGTAAATATTCACTTTCAATCCACTTTCAATGCACTTTCCAATTGGATTTTGCCAGTTCAATCCAGTTGGAAAGTGCACTGAAAGTGGATTATTTAGTTTGCGTGACTGCAGCCTTACTCTTCTTAAAAATGGTAAGAGCTGCCATTGGTGCAAAGCACCACTTACTGCCAACTATAAAGACTATATCTAATTCAAACCAAAAGAACTACAGACACCTTACTTGTCTGGAGGGCACTCACTCCTCATCCCCTCTCTGGTGCTTTCTGGATGTCTGCTTTACCAGTGTCCTCTAAAGTTTCCAATACTGTGCATTTGAAATCATCATGTTTATGATTTTTTTCAATGAAATGTTGAGCTAAAAATGTGTCTCCCTTCTTTGATTTAAATCTAGATTTATGTTCAGAAATTCTGAGACATATTAGCCGGGTCGTTATTCTTCTGTAAATACACTAATGTTTTTGATGCACAAGTGCTTTGATGATACAAAACCTTATTGTAATTATACAGAGGAAATTCTACCTTGTTAGTTTGCCAAGTTAAGCTACAGACAGAACAAGGCCAGTACCAGGACACTGGTAAAACAGACATCCAGAAAGCACTTTTACGAAGAGAGGCATATTATATATATTCCATTGGGACACTTCAGCCAAAAGGATTAAATTCTGAACTGGACTTCTTATGTTTTTTGTGAGCTATAAAATTTAGACTAATATTCTTGTAAAACATTCTATTTCTCAAATCTCCTTGTAACCAGGAGTTGGCAACTCTCTAATACTATAGCAATTCAGACTCCTTTGGAGGGTTGTGTAATCGTAGCTAATTCAGTTTCATGTAACAGACCCAGGAGGCTGTTTCTCAAAACTCCTGGAATACTTTAACTAGCAGTTAGCAACTTTCAGTACTGTAGTGGTGTGGACACCTACAAGGGTTGTTCAGTCTGATGTAATTCATTCAGTGGGCTCGGCATCTCCAGGAATCTTTTAACCTGGAATTGGTAACCTTAATTATTTAGTTTATTTTAAATGTAGTAAGGGCTTCTACAGCTTTAAATGCCAGCAAAGCTTAACCAGCTGAATTCAGTCCTGGTCTATGAAATAGGCTCAGCAGATTAGATACGATGAGGCATGTTTTGGTCCTGTAACATTGTAGTAACCCATAAGGGCGATGTTTAGAGCTAGGGAGACCTTGCCCAACATTGAGTGAGTATATGTTCTACATGGTGTGTGGTCTTTATAAAACATTATGATGTTTCAAAATTTTAAGGAGTGAACAAATTTTAAGGGGGAATGTTTTGTTACAGAATAATAGAAAAGTGTTACCTTGTAAGGAACTGAAAAGGGATTCTCAGCAGTGGGTAAGATCCAATGTGACTCTTGTTTATGAGATTATATATAATAGTGAAAAAAGGGGCTTCTATGGGATTACTCTTTATGAAAGATTATGGGGAATTTCAGACAGCCAATATGTTCCATTTCAGGAACTGTTGTTTTTCTTAAGCCCCCAGAGGGGATTTTTTTATTTTTTTTATAATACTACATAAACTACCAAGAAAAAATGGGGATAGGGGGACTACAATTAAGGGAGAAAGAAAAGATAACCCACACTAAGCTAAAACCCCAAGGTTAGGAGATCATTCCGTTAAAATGCTGTTAGTAAAAGAAAGGCTGTTAATAAACAATATACTTTGTGAGATCCTGTCTTTCTAAGCTTATATGTTAGATTGTTACTTGTTATGAGAAGATTTCCAGAGCATCTCCTCCAGCTCACTTCATAAAGGCAATCTGCAAAGTCCTTCCACCTTTACATCTCTACTAAAACTCTCTAAATTCTTGATATCTTCTTAGACGTTCACTGCAGCCCAATCTTCTTCCATCCAAAGGAATAGAACTGCTAGTCTTAAGCCTCTTTCGCTCTGGTCTCGGGGTCCAGTGGCTTCTCAAAGGTTTCTTGATTATGAAGGGTACCTCCAGCTCCTTTTTGTCAGCAGACTTTAAGATGACACTTTCTAAGAACACACGTAGAGAAGAAGTTAACTCCTTGTAAATTTCTCCTGTTTCTCTTGTGCTTTTTCTTCTTTTCTCATTGAGATCGCTGCTTAATTTAGTGTCTATCTCATTCGCTTTGAGAGCCATCCATTCCACTTTTTCTCCACTCGCCTCCTGGAGTTGCCGAGACACAAATTCTTGATTTATCTTGGTCAGCTGCTGGTTAATACCAACAAATTGCTCCAAGATCGGCTTGATGGTTTCTGCTACTAGTGCAGTGATGTCAACATCCCTTCTTCTCCTCAGAGTTTTCGCCATCTTTTAAAAAAAAAATCTGCCGTTTCAACGTTTTAGTTTCAATAAAGTCTCTTTCTTCCTGGCTCTGCAAATCGTATATGCTGTTAAAAGCTCATGGAAATCTCCCACAACAGGCTTACACGCTTGCAAATAAAGTCTTTCAGAAGTATCTGTTTACAACTGTCTTTCTCCCCCTCCCCTCTTCCGTTTATATAAACACTTCAAAGAGGCACCCCCTCAAACTGCTTAAGGGGTTTCGGGGGGGGGGATTTCGCTTCATGTATCCGTTTACAATCGTTTCTCTCTCCCTCCCCCTCCTTGTTTATGCAAATACATTGAAAGGCATCCCTCTCTCAGCATGCTATCGCTCAGAAAGTTTTTCCTCTGAGGGGGAGGGGATTTTCTCTTCTGAAGACAAATTACTCATTTTCACTCACATTTTGCTCTTTAACTCACAGTTCATTGTTGGTCTTATCTTGACCTCGCTCTTAATCGCTGCTCCGCTAGATCTCCTGTGCTTGATCAGGTCGACACAGCTTGTGGCCTCGCTAAGAGGATGCAGTCAGTGAGAGGGACCGTCAGGGTGGAGGGGAGCCTCCATTCCCCTGCCGTTAGCAGGAAAAGAGGCTCACTCTCAAAGCCCTATGGCTTGGAAGTTCTCCCTGAACTCCCATGGAAGCACAAAGCCAGCTGCGCCTCTCCCCCTCACTGCTGTGCGGTACGCCTCCCCAGAGAGCTGGGAAAGGCGTCCGCTATCGTTGTGTCATTGACCCCGCCTCCCATTTCAGGAACTGTTCACTAACAGCTTCTGTCTGTCATTTCAGACAGAACCGTTTTAGCAACAGTTCCCTGACGAAATATATTTCCCCTTTCAGACAGAAACGCTTCTGTCCCATTTGGGAAGCATTCCTGAGCCGTTTTAATCTCAAACTGCTTCCAACCGGTCTTCAATTCCTTCTACCACTCCTGAAGCACTACACGGTGCAGTGTAAAATGCCCCGTAGCACTTCCTCCAATGACAAGGTTTTCACGCCCTTTTTCGCCCACACTGGTGATCTCCACCTTTTTTTTAACATTTGTTTGAGAGCACTATGGTGCTGTAACACAACCCCAAAGCAGTGCAATAGTGACCCCATTGGGATGCCTGGAACACTGAGATACATGAGATCACTACATCTGGGGAGAACAATTATTTCAATGGAGTACAATGCCATGGAGTCCTCTTTCCACTGCATTCACTTTATGCCTGGGAACTGATATTTGTAGGCAGGAGATAAGCTGTAACTCTGTAAGTGCAGGGGATCCTCAGGTCCCACCTAGAGGCGTGGCATCCCTATATGCTGGCCATCAAGAGGAGGATGCTGTTTGCAAGGCTGGAAGGAGCTAGTGTGGCTTGGAAAAGTGGGAGGGGGGATTTTAAAATCCTGCCACAGGTTTTGAGTTTCTGGAATTCTCCTTGGGAAAGATAGCTACTTGTAAAATGGAGGCTGAGAAAGAGGGTAACAAAAAGGCAGCCTGTTGTCCTGTCCCTACATACTGCATGGGATGGGGGGAAGCAATTTACTTTAAGGTGCCTGAAGGAGAAAAGTTAAAGGAAGAGATGTTTAAATTCCAGGCAGCCTTGAAAAGAGGGTACAGTCATGGCGAGGAAAGGGGGGGGGGAAACAGGACAGTTTACAAACCCAGGCAGCATCCCTTCTTCCCTTCCTAATGTTCCAGAAATCAAATCCAAAAGTGTGTGCGTGCCTGAGCATCCACTTGTTTCCAGGTGGCAGATGTAGTGATCTCATGTATCTCAGTGGTCCAGGCATCCCAATGGGGTCACTATTGCGCTGATTTGGGGTTGTGTTCAGGGCCGGCTTGCCCGCTAGGCAAACTAGGCCTTTGCCTAGAGCGCAAGCCAGCCGTTAGGGTGTGGGAGGAGAGGCAGAGGCGGCCACCAGCGCGCCTGGCCAGCGAGAGAGGCAGTGGCGCCGCGCAGCCTGCAGGAGCGCCCTCCATTGAGCCAGGCGCTGCAGCCCGCGGCGACACCAGCAGCAGCAGCAGGAGGTAACGCGCGCCGCTGAGTTCCATGCTTTTCGACGCGAGCAGATCGATACAGCTGGCCGGGACGTGCCGGCGCCTCGCAGCGCTCTTCCACCCACTGGGTTTCCCAGGAAGAGGGAGGCGGCGACTTGAGGCTGGGAGGAGCGCTGGGCCTCGCCTGGCTCTGCCGGCTGCAAGAGGAGGAGGACGCGCGGCAGTGGCAGTGTGGGCAGGGTGTGGCGCTATAGCTGGCCGGCGGAGGAGCAAGCGAGGGGGTGGAGGTGGTGGGGCCGCCCCTCCCTGAGTCACGCCGGAGCCTCAGGTGGGTGATGCCGCGGGCCCTCCCTCCCTCCCATGCACCCGCTGCCCAAGATGGTGCAGGTGGTGCCGAAAAGGCTGAGCGCGCCAGAGGACTTGCTGCCACTCTCCTCGTCACTCCTCACAGCTCAGTCCAGCCAGCCCATTCTCCGGACACCAACACAGCGCAGGCATGGCGGCTGGGCAGCGGGTCCGGATGGAGCCATTCTCTCTGGGTGAGTTGGGGCCAGTCTCTTGGCCTGACCTACCCACGATCAGGGGCTGGACGGAGCACGCATTCTCTCTCCCACCC